GGGTATCTTAATCGTACCATTTTTGGTGATTTTGTTTGTGTGAACTCTAAATGTGATTCCCGAAAATGTGTTAACCATAATTGTCAAGATGGAACTCAATCCTCCTTTTTGATTGTTAATTAGAGTGAATTAAAGTGTGTGCTTTAAGAAACCGCTATCGATGCGACATTTCTTTTGTGGTTCAGTATATTTAAAATGAAAATACGTATGACTTTCCTCTTTCGATATTCTTCACAAAGGGGCCATCACAAGGAATAAATAGTTCAGTTTTAAAACGGTGAAAGATCTTCTTAATAATGTAAATTTTCATTTGATTATTGAGTTTTTAAAAGAAATAGAATTGTTGCATAAAGTTTAAAATATGTTTTGTAAATAGATTGATGTTTTCTTATTGGTATTTGAGATTATCAACTGCGATTGTGAGTGGCTGTGTCCTCAAATGGCTTAACTTTCCTACGATCGCCAACGGCGATACTTTAAGGTACGGTAAGTCCCGATGGTACCTAGTATGATGACGTACCTTCGGTTGCTGGCGATTTATAGCCCGTTTTTTATATTGTGTTGTCCTAATTTGAAATCCAGTTTTAGAGATAGATACTAGTTTTATTTTTTATATGTGTGTGATATTCTAATTAGTTTTACTGTCCTTTGTTGACAGGATTTTAGTGATTTACATGTATTTATGATGAAGTTATAAATTAAACACTGTTTTAGTCACGATATGGATGAAATATTGCCCATGTGACTTCAAATTTTAACTCACTCAATTTTCACAAAGGGCCGGTATCAAAGCACTAAAAGCAAAATTCTTCATCCACGCAATCACGTTTTGCCGGTGAGTCAGTGAGTTTATCATGACCATTCATTAATAAGCGTATGTTTTGATATAACATTCATGCGGAGAACTCAATTTTAAAAAAAGAAACAAGCATATTCATGATCACAGGTTAATTGTTCACATCAAATCACTATTGATTGCTTGCTTGTTGTTTAACGCCGCTTGTTGTTTAATATTCCAGCTATATGGCGGCGGTCTGTAAATAATCGAGTTTGGACCAGACAATCCAGTGATCAACAGCATGAGCATCGATCTGCGCAATATGGAACCGATGACATGTGTCAACCAAGTCAGCGAGCCTGACCACCCGATCCCGTTAGTCGCCTCTTACGACAAGCATAGTCGCCTTTTGTGGCAAGTATGGGTTGCTGAAGACCTATTTTACCCCGAATCTTCACGGGTCCGTTTTGCCGGTAGTGACGTCATAAAGATTAGTCAGTGTTTGTCTCCATCTTAGGCGGCCTATTAGCAACCGAGAATCTTGAGAGAAAATTAGGAAAATTAGTACCACGATGAAAACAATCCAAACATTAGTGAGACAAAGCTGGGGCTTTTTTTAAAGTTTTGTCAACTTGAGAGATATATACTTTGAAACAATTGCCCGGGACACATACCAAATAGGATCATCTCCTTATCTGTGTTTGTTGACATCTTCAGTTTGCTTCCTTTGCCACAATTTGTATTTAACTGAAATAATCCCCGAAAGGTGTCCTTGTTTCATATGTGATGATCGCATTGTGTACATCTCACTCCACACTTTCAACAATAAGTGGTGTACATGTGCCCGGTCTATGTGTCGTTTTGGACAATAAAGCATGATACTTGGGTGACCCAATGGTTCGCTCTTATCCCTTTGATAAAGACTCCAGATCATTTTTGAGCCGTTGATGTGTGTACTGTTAAACCAGGACATAGGTTTTACCAAGATCTTACTGTTTTTATATTCTACATACGTACACTATTGGTCAACTCATTTTTTTACAGGCACTATCTGTGACACCAAATGTGCGTCCCTAATGCATACACTTGTGATCCACCGGTGTATTCTGTTTTTGCCTGCACTTTGATTTGCTATAAGCGGATTAGGACGAACAGTGCTTGCAGAATTATAGTCTGTTCGAGTAAGTGGGGTTCACTCACCACTAAGTTCACTCACTGACCACACTGAACTAATAATGATTAGTGAACTCAGTGGTTGGAACTAATCAAATATGACATGAGCCATGGGGGTTATAAAACAGCATTTTTAGTTTAGTCATTCTACAATGGCAGAGGCACGTGTTCAATTCGTTCCCAATTCCTGGGGTGGCCAGAGTTTAGTATTGAATGGTTATAGTTTAGAGTGAAATCAAGAGAAACCAAACTGTCCTCTGGAGATGCTGTAAGAAAGGTTGTGTATTTGTTCATGTTACATGCAATATTGGTAAAATTAAAAATGTCACCATATTTCTCAAATGATTCATATTCGTACATTCATTGTATTTGCGAGTGATATATCCAATAAACTAAATGTGATAAGCTTTACCGTTTCTCCTTATTTGCTGGCATACATGCGTTTCTAAAATAGACTATAGCTTTAATCCCCATTGTTATAAGGATTAGTACTATCCACTGATTTTAATCCCTAAACAATACCAGCAGGGTCCTTTATGTGTGTTAATACCTCTGTACATGTACGAGTACAGAATGCAAAGCATATTTGGCCACTCTCTGTGAATTTCTCTGACCCATTCGTAAACTCCCAACAGTTAGTTCTTACCACCTTCTGTTTCCTCATAGTCATTCACACATACTATAATAGGCATGAAATTTTGATACTCATTTAAATAATTGGTATGTAATTGATATGAAGACTAGATCATTATATACAGGTAATTAAGATGTAATAAGGAACAAGTGGTACCATGATTTAATCATCTCTAAGGTAGGAATTCCGGGGAAGAAACGTTGGTACACTTAGTACACTTAGGAGTCAGCCAGGAGGAGTGACTACACATTATATCCGTGCCAAGTGGATGTAGAAAGCGAAAAACATTTTGAGTTACCAGGGTTACAACATCCGAGTCAGTCAGTTGCCTGTGACGTAGGATCCCGGGTCTTAAGGTGAAGCAAAGCTTACGATAGTCAGACTGGTGCGCGCCTCGAGGACCCAAGTCTGAGGTCTAAGGCGCGTCTGCTCTTATCTGATTGTCACTAACTCTCGAACTAAGGATCATACTCAAGGCACCAGCATTTCGACTGAGACTGAACCTTTGCGGCTGAAGTCTCCTACTTAAGTGACAATTACAGTGGGTTGGACCAGCAACGCTAAGAGTAAATAAAAAGCTATTGAAATAAGATCATCGTCTTGTGTTTGCTGGAGGAACTACGGTAAAGGTCCAAGTGCCCTCGTGGGCTGGCACAGTACCTCGCACACACCCCAAATCGTCAGAACCGAAGTATGAGAGTATATAGTTCAGACGAAGGAACGCCATCCAAGGTGTGGGATACTGACAAGTAAAGAACAACTCAGGTCAACGCCTTGGACAATACTTTGCTCTCGTCAATGATGTGAGGGAACACTCTGTAACTTCGAAGTACAGGCCTTTTTCTCTTATATGAAACCTGTCTTCCTTGTCACAAAATGGAGAGTCACACTAGTAAGACCTCAGAGTCTACTGGCGAGTCTTCAGACAGCAGCAGCATTGCACCCAAAAGCGGAGTTAGACGAGAATTAGTGTCCCTCAGAAGGGAAATGGGCTTCAGGTTGGGATTGTAAACTGCAGCTGACACAAATGAAAATCGCACACAATGGTTGGCATTCCTCCACACAAGTAACTCCTCAATGGCCAGAAGTAATGTTCGAAGCAACTGGGTAGACCTCGACTTCCTGTCAACAAACTCAAAATCAGATCCATAAGATCTGTAACAAGGATGAGTTATTTTTTCTTTCCTCTTACTACACGAGAATACCTTACGATCTATAAACGGGTGTATTACTGAAAAAGATAATTCTTCTGTAAGTCGATTTGTTTCAGCTAAAGAGACACAGGTCCCACAAATACCTGGACTTTGCACCCTACTGACACAATGTAATCACCAGTATACTATTTGTTAAATTGACTAATTGGGTTAATTTATCTTTCCTCATTTAAAATCTACTAGAATACGTTGCGATCTAAAAACAGGTGTATTACTGAGAGAAAGATTCTTCTGTAAGTCGACTTGTAATCAGCTAAAGACACAGGCCCCACAAATACCTGGACTTCGTACCCTGCTAACACAACGTAATCACCAGTATAACATTTGTTAAATCCACTTCGAATGTTTTCCAAAAGATATTGTGTTGGTAAAACGTGTATTGCTTTTTCATTTATGGTGCATCATATGTATATCACAAACATCAAATTTTCAACTTCTTTCCGAACTTCAATCAAAGATGACAATGGGTTCATTGTAACGGACGTTTCCGCTTCTGCCCAGCTAACCCAACTGACACAAGCATCTGCTTTGTAGCATGATGAAACAGGAAATAAATTTAATCCAAATAATTCAAATACCTATTTCTACAAATTGGGAAAAAGTATTAAAGTGGACCTCCGTGTGAACAAAATGGATGTGGTTTGTTTCTTGAATATTTTCAGTATATGGAGGAGATATTACGCATGAAAACACAAATCACAAATTCGGAGTTCACTATATTTTCTAGCTCTAATAAATCTCCAATTATATACTCAAACTGAAGGGTCACCAAGGTAGGTATACTGTCAAACATGAAACCAGCGTCAATTGGTCCGAGCATGTGATCAACAGTTGACGAACATGTTGTTCATGCCTATGACGCATTGGTTTGAAACTATTGAAATGGATAACGACGATTTCTAACAATGCGTACAAGGTTGAAGGATGATCAAAACGGCTACCTAAAATGCACCTCTGGTCAGTTCTTTGTAGTTCACTGAGCATGGCGTTTATATTACCCCAGCTGCAATAAAATAGCAAATGCGACAGACCGTTCTTCTTACCTCTTGCTACTAATTGTTACAGCATCAACTTTGTCATACCTAGTCACAAAACGCTTATCCAATGACCTGGAAGCCAATACCGCTATCAAAAAGACACAGACGTTTGAAACATAAATGTGAATAGTCTCCCTCTCGGTAAGCTGCTGCATCTTGCTGTCCGTTCTGATTCATTGTCACAGTATGAGCAGTATCGTTATTGCAGTATTGTTATTGCAGTATTGTTATTGTGCACAGTGTCGTACTGCCAGGGACCAGCCATGGTCGGTACCAGAACTAACGTACCCCTCAGGGAGCTCTAGAGCGGGTGTGTCACAGAGGTAACATGTGCCATCATCATGGTAAAACTCCGCAGTGATACACCCAAAGCCAATCTCTCCCTTGCATGCGGCAATGCACGCCTGCATTGTTGACGTTGTCAGGGCGTTAATGTTGCAGCCGTCTATTCCAGATTCGGGGTAAGTACTGCTTTCACTGCCGTATATGGTGCAACCTGAAAAACAACCATACAAACATTAATAGAGGCGACAAAACCGTTTCCACATCCACGAGTGAGTGAGCGAGTTAAGGGTTACGCCGCACTCATCAATATTCCAGCTAAATGGCATCGGTCAGCATCCACGGGAAATCTCTACCAAAAGTCCACTGATCACTTGTGACAACATCATGAGCAGATATTTGTTTCATCAGTATTATAGCTGTACAATGCCGTTTGTAAACAAGTCGAGTCTGGATGAAACCCAACAGTGATTGTCACCGTACAATACGATGAAAGAGCATGTGTTTATGAATCACTATGAAATAATGATGACATCAGGTGTTCGCGAAAGGGGAATCTTATATCTTACTGCTAAAAGTCAATTGTACAACCGTGACTATATCATAACCATACATTTGTTTCAGCAGTATTACAGTTGCACCATGTTATTCGTAAACAAATCGAATGTGGGTGGAAAAAGTCCAGTGATTGTCACCATGCGATAAGATGAAAGAACATGTGTTTATGAATCACTATGAAATAGTGATGACACCAGGTGTTCGCGAAAAGGTGAGCGTATCCTGCCCCAGAGGTGGGACCCGTCAGAGAAATATGCAAAGTCTAGTCGTTTGCATTTTTAACCAAGGTCATGATTACATGGCGACAGTAATATTGCCGTTCCTAGTAAGGTGATCTACCTTCAGATGCTGGCGATCTATAGCCCGTGTTTTATATTGTATTGTCTTCTTTCATTACACTGTTTAAGTTCTACATGCTAGTTTTATGTTCATATCTCTGATACTCTTGTGTTTTTACTGTCCATCGTCGACAGGTTTAACTCTTCACAATGTTTTCATTTTTGTATTGTATAAATTGTTTTCGTCACGATATGGCTGAAACATTGCCGATGTGACGTTAAACATTAACTCACTCACTCAGTAATATTTCCGCCATCCAAAGTATTCATCTTATTTAGAAACTATACTGATCAAGGACTTTCATGTGTAAGTGAGTGAGTTTAAATTCTTTCTCGTATCAGTGTTATCTCAGCAGTATCGCAACGACATCGGCCAATCATGGGTTGCTGATTTAACGTGATCTTATAGCTAATATACATGGAATTAGCATGAAACGGCCCTCCGATTATCAGAAATTTGCGGGCCGCTGCAAATTATATTGGACCGCTCAACCTTAACGACGGGCCACTATCAGTTCTGTTGTAAAGTGACGTCATAGTGGGTGCGTGGGCTTACGGTTCATTCGACATTAATTGGCTTTCGACTGGCAGATATTCTGGGTCAAACAAGTCAAAGCAACCCGAATTCCCGCTTTAAATATAGGTAATATTGGCTTTCTTGTTAGTGCTAACCTTAACAATTGCACTATTAAGGTTGTTGATGGACCAAAACCGAACACTGACATAGTTTGACATGTTGCAGGCTGTGACTTGTATAAGGCCAAGGTCGAAAATCGTCACTTTTTGTTGTGACGTCACTTGAATTGTTCGATGACGTAATTGCATTCGGGCGGTCAACCCCTTCAGAAGTTGATTTGGGTAAACTTACAATCAAATTTCTTCATTGTTCCCTTTTTCTTTTCAACACAAATTCTATGTATTTTAGCAATAATAACGGTAATGCTATTTTTGAGGGCTTTATCATTTGCAGAAGCCCTCGGTCTTTTTCAACTGCCCTCCTTCGTCGGGCAGTTAATGGAAGACCTAGGGCTTCTGCAAATGATAATGCCCTCATAAATAGCATTACCCTTATATTACTTCCTTCAACACATGTACCCTTGTAAACAGCTATATTTGTGTGGTTAGAGTTTAGATACCACCTTGACCTATATAGAAACAAATATAACTAGGATACCTTGAAAAGACTTTCAGCTAAAATATATCCTGGAAGTTCAGTGAATAACGACGGTCTAATACGTACCCTTTTTGCGAAAACCTGGTGTCATCACTTACTTCCAGTGAAACGTTCGCGTTCTTTAACCATCGCTGTTTTGCCTTTAAAGCCCAGTGGAATCAAGATTAGTTATTCCTTGATGTTGACCTCTAATATTTACATCGACACCGTCGGCGAGGGTCAATACCTATACTCTCAAAGCAGGGATTCCAGATACTAATTGTCCCTAAGCTCTAAAAGTGAATGGATGTGTGAGGTGATCAAGCGCAGTGTACAACAACCAATCCCAATGACTGTGAACCAAATGTTTGCCCAGGATTTACACACATCAACATCGACATTGACATATCCTGACATGGTAAAGAGACATGGTATTTTTACATCCTGTTGCTCCAAGGAGTTGCTTAGGGACTCGGGCTTGCGTCAGAATGTATGGTGCCTTAGACCTCTTAGTGCTCTATATCAGCAGCAACCAATCACCCTGCTGATACCAAATACTCACGAATCAGACAGTTGCCAGTCGTGACGTCGTAGCTTGTCCCCGTCACGCATACACAGACGCCGTCTGCGCATGCTGAGTTTCCGAAGGCGCAATTTGATGACGTCACGCACTTCATCCCAAACGACGGACCTCCTAGAAAGGTATGTAATATTTTAGCTAACACTATTTTCAAAAATATCTTCAACTCAGTGGATACATACGATATCCGTTAAGGTCATTTAGATATGCAGATCGATGCAAATGTGAAAGGTTAAGTAAGGAATATTCAGTGGTTACAAACATGACGTCACCTTTATCAAACGGCGATTATTCATTGGAAATTTGGGGGAACAAAGAGGATAGTTGTTATGAGTGACAAACTTTGAAACAAGTACCCAGGGACAAACCGAGCAGGATCAGTTTACTTATCTGTGCTTGTAAACCTCTGCGGCTTGAAGACTTTGCAAAATCCACTGCTGGAAATTGCCGAAATAATCCCTAAAGGTTACTTCGGTCCGTCTAGCTAGCTCACATTACTTTATCAAGCGATAAAGTAAACTTTTTGCATTACGTCATACTGCACAGGTGTGACTATATATCATTCCAGTCTACCCAACCGTTATCAAACGCACCCTTGGTAACCAACGATCATGCATGTCAGTTGACACAGTCCTAGTAGCAGCTGATTCTTGGTTTGTAGTTGCTGCAGCCGTGTAACATCAATGGTGGAAACATTACGTTTAAGTTTTTCATGGCATGACCAGCCGATTGACAGGACCGGGCCCATTCCTGACAGAATAAGTCCGGTTCTATCAACCGGCTGGATCACCATGCCCTGTGCATGGAAAACTATCATTTAAAATAATCACCTCAAATATTTCATTATGGAAGATGATGCCATTAAAGCAAATTCATATTTTGCCTTGAGCCGTATGCCAAAAGGCGGTGGTTCAACGGCCGATCTGGGGATACGGAACTCCGAAATCTGTATTTATTCTTTTAGTTTCCACAGCTTTTCATGTTCAATTTGCTGGAGTATAGCAATCCTGTAGCCCTGGTTGTGCAGTCTGGTTACCGCTGCAATGACACTCGATGGCGGGTGGGGAGCAGGCTTGTCGAACTTACATCCTCACAACAATAACCTACAATACACTGGTTCTCCTTCTAAAAATACGGAGACATGTAGAAACTGATACCGTTTCACACTCATTGTAATGAGATACTTTTGATGTCACAGCTTATTGCACAGTTCAAAACTGATTAAAGAGTCAAGTACAACATTTCGTTAAGTACAATTAATGTTCACAACATTTTTGAACTAGAAAAGTCATTGCTGTAAGTAACGTTATGAAAATGCCAGAGGCTTAATGTTGCAAAACCAAACGTACGTTACCAGTCGCCGGCAAACTTCTCATTGTGTCATGTCTGGCTGTGACTAAGGACAACCCTGTAGGTTATTGGTTCTGATATATAAGCAATCATGAACATTTCTTCTGATAATTATATACATCTTCATTACCATGAAAACAATAAAGCAAGGTCGCCAGGTTACAAGATACGTACGTTACCATAACAAGATTGATCGTATTAATATATCTATGTTTTCAGTCATATTAGTACCATATTGTGCTGATAACCTAAGATTAAAGAAGTCAAGGAACAAGCGTGAATTTGTCTTGATACAAGCGTTACCACATGTACATTATCATACGTTTAAAGGTACTATTTATCAGGCTTCATTATGAGAAACAGGGTCATACGTCATCAATGACAAGACTTCATTGTAAACTCTTTAAGACAACTAAAAACGGGCGGAGATTGATGTGATACATACGTTACCGATACCTACGTTACTCAAAATAAGAAACAGCAATTATATTCAGTCCAACATACGAAACTACGGCAGATACATGAATGAAGTGTGAATCACGTGTACCACGCATCGCCATTTGCTTCAAAGTTTCTTGAAGAAGAAATTCAAATAGCATTAATATCATGGCTTTCAGTGATGTATTGACGAGCGCTGAAAGTGCAGGTAAGTCGACTAGATGTGTCAGAATCTGAGATTATTTACATGCATTAAGTTTATATAGATATATGGAGTTACAGGAGTGATCTATTTTGATGTTTTAACACTTTTGATGTTTTAACACATGTATCATTGTAATAGTGGTCACCCTATATGATAAAAAAACTAAGCATATCTGACAATCATTGAATGCAGATGCTAAAATCTAAGCATTGTAAACCACGAATCAAAATAAGTCACAAAATCATTTACAAAAAGTGTTAATTTGACTAGGTGTTAGTAAATACTTACCATTCTGTAACCTTGTGACCTCTGAAGTTTCCACTTACCATAAGATTCCTTGAAAGAATACAGATCCCAAGCATTTTAGATGTATTGATACCTTAACTTAATAGTTTAGCAAACGATCAATACACTTAAATACTTACCTTTTAAAAGTCGTTTGGTTGTATTACCTTCGTTACGATATACACGTTACCTGTTCCACACCGGTTTGACATTAGTATGTTAATGCCCAATGTATTTATGTGTGTTTCTGTGAAAAATATAGTTTGTATTTTACGTGTTAAATGCAATAGAAGACGTTTTCTCATTTACTTGTGATATCCAGGTCTGTTTGAAGAAAATATAACTATTTTTCTTCAAAGAATTACATTCTTTGCACTGTTTCAGGAAATGTTCAAATGTTTTCTGTCCATTCCCTATGGTTTATAATTAGATGTGTTTGACTTTTCACGCAATTCCTTCAGCATGTGTTATGAAACTAGAAAACCATCAAATAGAACATGTGTCACGCTATACCCTCATATGATACAAACGTTACCCACATTACTACTCATATTATGCATGGTCTGACCACGGTTTGTTTACTTTACAATATGGGAAATGCAGTGAATTTTTTAGATCAGTGATGGAAGCCAGTGTTAAATTCAGTACATCTTCACAGATGTGTTTGTGCATTATTCATCTTCAATCTTTATTACTGTTTTGAAAAGACGTTTTAATGCACAATGATTCAGATGACGCCTGGTGAGATAATATTCTTTTTGAAAATCTGCACTGTTATCGATCTCCTTACTATTATGTCCAGAGAGAATACTACTATGTTAGCTGTCTTGTTCTTCAATCACTGTTGGACATTTCTGTAACGTTTGAATCTCTAATTTTTTTTCTAAATTATGGGTGGCAGTCTTGATATGCCGACAACTTTAAAACCGAGAAAAAATTGTCAATGTAGATAATGTAGATTGTTAGATGATGAATGCTCTGAACAATATAAAGAACCTCGATTTCTGGTTATGGAGGGAATGGACAGAAAACCACTCAAGATCAACGTTTTCGTTATTTCTAAAGCAATAGAGGGTATTTGTTTGCACATATTTGACATGTTATTTGGTCTTGGCTGATCAAATTCAAATTATATATGTGTGTGTACCTATGAAATCGCCTAGAGTCCTAAGCAAGAAGGCGGTGGCTCATGAGCCAATATAGTGATATCGACCGCTGAATTCCATGTTTATTGAGAAATGTGTCATGGGACGAATCAGCCGGGCACAAGTTCTTTTGGATATCATGTCTTTATTTACTGGAGTATAGCTTATCTGTTGCCCTGGTGTTACAGCCTGGCTTCAGTTGTAACGTCAATGGCGGGTGGGGAGCAGAGATGTTAAATATACTTATTCCATCATGTCTAATTCTGATGATAAAAGGCAACCTTGAAGAAATGTGGGTGCTGGGTAACGCTAATAGCTACACACACACACAAACACAACACAAACACACAAACACACAAACACACACACACACACACACACACACACACACACACACACCCCCCCTCCCCTCCCCTCCCCTCCTGTGGACCCGGCCGCATATAGGTCCGTAAGGCCGAATTGGGCAACCTATTTGGCGTGGGTTGTGCCCCTGTTTCGGTGGAGGGCGGGGGTCTGGGGGTTGAAGGCAATGGGAACCTGGAACCGTGTTTCTGTTGCAGGCATTCAAGTACAGAAAACACATATGTATTATTATCTAAGAAACTATACATTTAAGTTAGTTGAGAAAAACACGTTTCTAAGAGATTATTTAGTCTCGCGTAATACACCCGTTTAAGATAGCGGTAATGCGATGTAATTCTAGGAAATGAAGCCGCATCACGCGTAAGGATATAGGGATTCCACACATGGCGGATTTCCTTAGAGAGAAGCTTTTGTGGGTAATAAAAACAATAACCAACTCGTGACGGGGAATGCCATATTATCTTTCCCTCGTTATATTATGTAATCAATTTAACTCAGGAAACATAATCTGTCATTCCCCTTCACTTATTAGTTTTTGTCTAAATAGCTACCTGAGAGGTCTATAAACATTCTAATAATACATGATCGTAACACATGGTTTTATTGCTTTACTTACGTCCACAGAACGCATATAGTCTTGATCCACCCTCTTCAGTCACGGGGTTCAGAGTCTTCGAAGGGAGGGAGAAGCCACAGCCGTAGGTAGAGCATGTCTTCGTCCTTGTGTTGTACCTGTAGGACCTACATCTGTGGTCCTGTAAACACCTTTGGGTGCAAAATCCTGCCATCTCCACATGAAGGAACGTAGCGAGTTGGAAGTCTGTAACGGCCTTCCCTTCGAAATCAGAGAGACGATAATCATTGCATTCAAAGCATAAACAATCAACGCCTATGAAATTGAGCTGTAAACACATAACTACAATAAAGTATTCTACTACTGAACGCGTATCAGTCATTCTATGTTCTTGCACCCCGAGCAACTTGAAGGAATCTTGCCGACTGACGGATTCACGCCTTTATGACCAAACCTGTTCAGCTGATGTTATAGTGTTGCTTCTGATAAAACAACGATGATATTGATTTGAGAGACACCGAACGCCTGTACTGCTTTTAAATTCACTACGTTATTCATTTGTTTCCAAACTCGCCTGGGGGAATAAACTGATTTTTATATGTACTGGTTTCCAGAAAATAAATATGAGTTTTGGGGAGATGAATGCCACATTCATTAATATTAACGTCTGTAACAATCAACTTCCCTGACGAAATTGAGCTTTCAAGCAAAGTGAGGTCTCCTATTCAATTATCTCAGTTGTATATACAAGTATAAGTTGTTGGTTAGAATTGCTACCTAGCAACACAAGCTTCCTGTACGAGGAAATGGTTCACAGAATACACCAGGGTGTGTGGCTCCCTGTTTTCTGTGTAAGCTTTATACTGATGACGTTGGTCGAGGTTCAGTGACTGTTTTGTCGCCACAACTACCAACCCACATAGGACAAAGGGAATCATTACAGCTTTAAGGAACTATAGTCCGTTTGACGTCATTTTAGACCGACGAATTGCTCACTATAGTCCGTTTGGCTCAAAGATGGACCGATGAATTGCAATATAACTCGAGAACTAATAAACATAATATACTCAATGAAACACTGATCATAATCAAAATGTCAAACGACAATTATTTTGTTGTCACTTTTCTCTATTTCTTACGAGGGAGGACCACTTGCTGGTAGAACAGCCAGGTAATCAACAAGCGTGTGCAGTGAAATTTCAATTTCACACGTACAACTCTCACACCAACTGAATAAATAAGAAATATGGCGCAACAGGATGAATCTCCTGTTATTTTGCCACCTGAATTTCAATCCCGCATACAAGGCAGTAGACATATTTATGTTAGTTGTCTTATCACAACATTTTTAGAATATGCGTCTGTTTGTTTGTATATTGTTCAGCACCATAATCAGTTATATTCCAGCCAAATAAACGAGTCTTGTTCCAGTGATTGACATCATGAGCATCGATCTACGTAGTTTGGATACGATGACATGTGTCAACTTAGTCAATGAGCCTCAACACCCGATCCCGTTAGTTGCCTCTTGCGGCAAGGATGGATGGCTAAAGACCAATTATTTCCCGGATCTTCACGGCTATGTGTATTTGTCTTTATATACATTGTGAGTTTAGTTTTACTTCGCACTCAGCAATATTCCAGCTATATGGCGGCGGTCTGTAAATAATCGAGTCTGGACCAGGCAATCCGGTGATCAACAGCATGAGCATCAATGAGATCTGATCGAATTGGGAACTGCATCCTCTGAAACAACATTATCTCTGTTGTTGGTTATATAGACTGCCTCTCTGACAAGCTTAGATTCCGTGTGCCATCGGCAGTACATCAGCTATATAGTGACTCTGGCTGAAATACTCCCGATGTTACTAGAAATCCTAAATCACACATATTCTCATACAGTCCTTGAATCAGCCAAAGTCTCCTTTCTAAATTTCCCGAATATTCCGTCGATGAACATGAGAAAATGATACCCAGGGTCAATTCTGTAATTTGGTTTGTTAACACTTGAATGAAGTACTATTGTCCGAACACGGCGACCCATTTCAAGCCTGATGTATTTCGTTAATTTCATTAGACCATTTGTCACTTTTTGATAAAATGCATGAAGAATTCAGGAACTTAGGTAATGGAAGCTGAGTTTTATTTATACGTGATGTAATAGGCGTAACATAACCGGCATATGTGAAACGTGAGATAATAAACACTCTGCTTTGTGGCGGAAGTTCGCCTCCGCATTCGTGTTATTGATTTGATACCCGTGAAGAACCGGGTTAGAATTGATCACCAGCAACCCATGCTTGTCCTATAAGGCGACTAACGGGATCGGGTAGTCAGGCTCGCTGACTTAGTTGACACATGTCATCGCATCCCAATTGCTTAGATCAATGCTCATGCTTATGATCACTGGATTGCCTTGTCCAGATTCGTTTATTTACAGACCGCCGTCATATAGCGGGAATATTGCGGCGTAAAATAACAAGCAATTAATCAATATTGATTTGATGTGAACAATTAACCTGTGACCACGGATATGCATGAATGTTATATCAAAACATACGCAAATTAATGAATGGTCATATAGTAGTGACCAAATGCCACATCTATAATGCAACACTGGTATAATGCAATACTGGTCAAATAACTCTAGAGAAAATTATGTGTCATAACCTCACTTACTGACATTACTGGCTTTTAGTTCCTTGTCGGCTTACACGTTGAATGTATGACTGAATGTATTACCATTTAATCCTAGATAATTACGCTGCTTTACAATTTCTAAACTAATCAAACATAAAATGTGTATCTACTGCTCCCTTTGATTTCCTAAATATTTTTTCAATGCATTTGCTAATTCCCATGTTTTACAGTAAATAGGATGTGCTTGCAATCCAGCATCAGTTCTACTCAACCCATATCATAGGCGAAGTAGAAATATTGTATGGTCGCTAATGTCTTTACCATCAGGAGTCTTTTCTTGCAAATCTAATTATAAATGGTCAATGAAAATAAAAAAAAGTGTGTTGTCATTATTTCCCCTAGTAGACTAGTCAAATTTCTAAGAAATGTGGATTTTAAGGATGCATGAGGCATTTTTGAGTAAAAGCAAGCAAACAACATGTTCTGGGGTAGTTTTTCGTGCTGAATACGAATCTGTTGCTAAGCTCAAAAATGCATAATTAGGTCACAAATTGGGTTCAAAGGTCAATGAGTGCAAAATTCAATTTAAAAAAAAAGTGTTTTTATTTATCATTCTCCATCCATGCAATGAACTCATTTTACAATATATTGATTAATAATGGTACCACAGGATTTCAAAATGTTGGATTTCATGGAAATGCTGAAGGAAAAATTTCGTATTTTTGCAAATATCTCCCTTATGGAGCGACTTTTAGTTTTTGTGTGAAGAGCTACTTTTTACAAGCATTTTTGCTCAAAGTGCAAAGCAAGGCTGAATCTTTTCCTTTTGGTGACAGAATTATATTCCAGGCAAACTGTTTAGATCACAAAATTTGCATATTAAGCGCATAAATACTTCAAAGGTTAATGAGTGTGACAGGATGCGATAGGCATTTTTACATGTATGCCACACGAATGCTTTTATACTGTTTCACATGCATGTCAAATGAAACTACTCTCATTCATGCAGTGAGTTTGATTAATGATTTTAGCAACATAATTACCCACAGAACAGTTCAGGAAATCACAGGCACAGGTGGGAACCCTATCTGATAATGGAATTAATGGCACAGCTCTATGCTGGTTCAAGTCTTATCTGTCGTCCCGTCACCAGCAAGTACTGATAGAGGATCATTACTCTAATCCAGCTCATCTATTTTGTGGTGTCCCACAAGGATCGGTCCTAGGTCCGGTCTTGTTCAGTCTTTACATCAAAGATCTTTGGAAAATCATGGAAGCCCACAATGTTGATCGCCATCACTTTGCTGATGATTCCCAAATGTACAAAGTCTTCCTACCCACTATGGATCAAGCAACACCCGCCTTGAACGACCTACAACAGTGCTGTGAGGAAACCAAGAGCTGGATGTTTGAAAACATGCTGAAATTGAACAGTTCAAAGACAGAGTGCATTCTACTGGGTCCTGCAAAACGTTGCTCCCAGTGCTCATTGAATGCTCTTGATTTTGATGGAGAAAGTATTCCATTCTCACAGAAAGTAAAAGATCTTGGTGTCATCCTTGACTCCGACCTCTCTTTGGATGATCACATACAACATCGCTCTAGGATCTGTTTTGCAGCTCTATGCAATATCAGTTCCATTAGGCAATACCTGACTATAGATTCGGCAAAAACTCTCACCTTATGCCATGTAATGACCTGCCTGGACTGTTGTAACTCTCTCCTATCCGGTTCTAACAAATCACAAATCCAGAGACTTCAACGAATCCAAACTGCTGTGGCACGTGTCGTGACTAGATCGAAGAAGTTTGACCACATCTCTCCCATTCTTCAATCTCTTCATTGGCTTCCAATCGAGAACCAGATCCGCTTTAAACTCCTCTGCCTCACCTACAGCTGCCTGTCTGGATGCGCTCCTGCTTATCTCTCCAATCTTCTTATGCCATATAAACCAGCTAGATCCCTTCGTTCTCAGGTCAAAAACTTTCTGCTTGTTCCTAGAGCAAACAGTGTTCGCTACGGCAGCAGATCATTCGCCTACGCAGCTTCAACAGCCTGGAATGATGTTCCCTTCTCTCTCCGGAACACCAGTGACTTCTCTAGCTTCCGATCAAAACTGAAAACTCACCTTTTCCTGATGTCTTTCCAACTTTGCTGAACTCTGAGCATACTTCAGTATGGATATATGCACGTTAGAAATGCCCTAGTATTACTATTATTATTATAATGTGTCAACTACATAGTATGAAGATGAAGGCGAAAGTGGAACATAAATGCATACAAGCCATGTGCTATGACTGAAGGATCGAGGCTGTACTTAAAGACTTTGCTATCACATGTTTGGTTTTAGGAATCTTTGTGCCGGAGGATTTTGTTAGTTGATGCACTGCTTGTACTTTTTTATTCAAATAGTGTAGTGTGTGTGTACCAGGAGAGGTCATCAGTGGCGGTATATACGTAGCACTGGTGTAAGTTTGTTTCTATTCACAGGCCAAGGTTTTTCATTTGAGCTTTGTATCATATGTCAGGAAACCAGTCGGTCTAAAAATACCTTCTACAACCAGACAGAACTGGGCATCTAATCCATCTTTGAGGCCACCCAGCTCAGGCACAAACTGAAACATTGCAAAGTTCGGTCATCTGTAGACAGGCTTTCGTTCCTCTTTGAAGAACCTCCTGACGGCAACCCTAATCTAAAATGGCACAAACTCTGTTATTCAGCATACACACATTAGGGAAAAATAAATGTTAGGCTTGCCAAGGAACAGTCCAATGCTTCACAAGGAAATGAACAGACTGGTGTTTCAGGTGAAGGATACCGCTTTTTACGTAGGGGTACTTCAACAGTGA